GACACTCATTTCTCAATGTGAATCACAACTCACTTGATGAAAACCTGAATTAGTTAAGATGTTTTTTGGCACATGATGCAGAAATACAAACACACAGAGGGCATAAAACTCAAAATGCACTGGCTCAGGAGAGGCTAACTAAAAGACTCAGGAGAAGGCCAACTAAAGGCTTGGCTGTATCCAGTTGGTTCTATTGAATACCAGCAAACTCAGTTTCTCATAATTTGTTAGCTTTTAACCTCTGCATTGACTTTATGTACAAATGTTACCTATTATGGAGACCAAAATTCCCTTATTTACTCTGGGCTTACTTGTTTCCTTACACTTATTGATCCCACTGAAAAGAACATGCAATAGAAAGGCAACTTTTCCATTCTCACCAGGACACACTTTTATTTTCTAATTCACTTGAGTCAAGTACCTTCCCCCTCAGAAGGGGAGTAAGGCCTTTCCAATGACCAAATCAGAATTAATAATTTAGGAAAGGGATGTTTCACAAAAGTAGGTAAAGAGCAGATTTCAAATGGAACAAAACATAAGACCTCTATTATCACTCCCAAATCTTGAACTTTTTTATTTACATGTATGCTAACACCCAGACACATATATTTACCTTCACATTTCAAAATTACATCCTCAAAACTTAAATTGGAACTTTTTTCCTACTCTGGCTCTAAAAAATATTTTTGTTGTTATGTTTTGGCCTCACTACTAAAAACATAATCTGAAGTAGAAACATAGGAGATAACTTAAACTTCTGCCTGCCAATTCTATCTTCTAAATACCAATAAAATATGTTATTTTTCTCTCTTTTCAACTTTTTGCTACTACATTATTTCAAGTATACATTATTTTTGTACTAAAGAATCTCTTACCAGTATTCGGCTCCCTCTAATCTTCTTCATCTTGCTACCTAATTATATATCAATGTAGTCACTTTTCTTATCTGCTTTGTGCCAAAGCAACCACAGGATGAATTATTCACCAACCTTTTTCCCTCCTCACCCCACTCACAGTCAGAATCAAAGCCACACTAAGCCAGAGTTTTCCGACTTGTGTCATTCTCTTCTTACTGAGTGACTTTGACCACAGAACTCCTTTGTTCTAGGTATAGCTTCCTCTTCCGTCTTATTTTTTCTTTCTTATCTTACAAGATCTATTTAAATAGCTTCAAGTTGAATTGAAAACTTTCCCTCATAAACCATGAACCTTGTATGTGATTTTATTATGGCACTTATAGAAATGGATTTGTTTACTCATCAGTCTCTCAAGATTAAACTCCTCAGGGAGGAATATGCTGTATCAGACTTATTAAGAGTTTATTGAATTCCATCCAGGGACAGTCACAATGTCAGGAATACTGTGTGAATACAAGTTTATATTGAACAAATGCATCAAGGCATCAGTGAGTAGAAGAATACAATAATACTTTTTGGTAATCTGAGAACAATAAAGTGATGACTACTACCAGAAAGGTAAAGAAGGCCATCATTTTAAAGAAAAAAAAATTAAGACAAAAGCTTGAATTGATATTAATACTTTTGATAATTTCATGGTTTAGAATATATGAATGTTTTAAGTACTTTCATATTGAAATCATCACAAATTTTTGTATGGAAGGTTGCAACAGTGTTATTACCATTAGTACAACTATGTTTACCAGCTGGAGAAACTGAGGAATTGGGTGCTTGTGTATCCATCTCATGTCATGGAATGTGTTAATGATAGAAAAAAACAAAACAAAACAAAAAGAAACTACTCCCCCCAGTAACTTAAAAGCATAAATGAGAATCATTCTTTAGGATCTGTGGAGGAGTCCAGAGCATCCTATTTTAATCAATTATAAAACTTCTCCTTCTCCAATCAAAGAAAGGTATTAGTGAAATGAATGAGAGTAATTAAATCTAATTTAGTCATGCAAATGAGTTTAATTAAAAGAAATCTACCCTTTAATAACTTCAGGGGAAAATGCAGATCCTTATGGAGTTTGAAATTTAGTTAAGCTCACAAGACACAATAGCTGAACTGATGAGCCCACACTGTTGTAATCTGCTTGTGTAAATATTGACACATGTAGCATTTAGTTTGTCTCACAGTGATAATACTTGCTCTAGGCTTCTGATGAAATCTGGCATTTATAATTATTAAAAGATGCTTGTTAAAAATGCTCTTATCCATCATGTTAATTTTTTGAATGAGATCGCTAGTGCATTGACCTCCAGAATTTTTCCCCCTAAATTAGAGTATAAGAAAATGAATTTAAATTCAACACTTACAGATCCCACATTATGCAGAAAACGTTGAACCAGGAATATAGCAGGTAGACCTGGGGCAGAGAAACAGGAAGCATCCTCTCTGTCCTGAGGATGCTTATACTCTAATAACTGTAATGTCTTCTATGATGATGACAGAATTATTTAGAATAAAAGTAAAAAACTGGATGCCACGAAACGACAACCACAGAAAATGAACAGTAATTTGGAATGACTGGGAAGAAGTAGGGAACTCTTTTCCAACAAAAGGGGAAACTGAGCTGGCATTACATTGAGCTGGCCTTAGAGAGATCTCCCACAGAAAACATAAAGAGCATTAGAGGCAGACTTTTCTCTTCTTCCATTTCCTGGAAATGGAATTAACATGATGGATAAGAGCATTTTTAACAAGCATTTCCTGGAAGAAGAGAAAGTTCATATTTTGTTCAGAGCTTTATTAGCCTGGTGCATCAGATGAGAAAATCTTAGAAATCCTCCACAGCCAGTCAGACTGGGGAGGATCTTGAATGTCGTGTTTTGTGTCTGGATGCTCATTTGGCATAAGTGTATTTATCATTTTTTTGGAGGAGAGGGTAACTGGGGATTGACCTCAAGGGCACTCAACCACTGAGCCACATCCCTAGCCTTATTTTGCATTTTATTTAGAGACAGGGTCTCACTGAGTTGCTTAGCACCTCACTTTTGCTGAGGCTGGCTTTGAACTTACAGTTTTCCTGTCTCAGCCTCCTGAGCTGCTGGGATTATAGGTGTGCACTATATTTGTCATTTCTAATGAATACTCTTATCAGGGATAAAGAAGAATCTATAATGGGGGGAAATAGAGACAAAGAGACTGTGTAGGTGAATGTTGAATAATTTGAGGGAGGAAGAGATTCAAGTTTAGGGTAGTGGCAATAAGAATACAAAACAAGGAGCAGAGTCCTTGAGCTTCATAGCAGCTGTATATTTTAACATGCGCATCAGGGTTGACAGTGTTGCTCTGCCTAAGGAAAACGGAAGTCTGGAAAGAAAAGCGCAATGAGAACTACCCACACTGTTGTATTTAAAAAACAACTTCCTACCTCATCCAACATCTTGACCCTATTCAACTTACTCTTCTTTCTATACTTCTATGTATTATGCAATCTTTTAGGACTATTGCTTCATCTTTTTTCAACAGAAGCCCCATAAGGCAGGGATATTTTTTATTCTCTTGCTCACTGATGTATTTTAAAAGTTAGCCCATAATAGATGTCTCCCAAATGTCTAGTGCCTAGTAAAGTTCTACATGATAGATGCTTGAAAATATTTGCTAAATAGTGAAATATTAAAATTTTGAAACCAAGTTTTGAGTAAAACCTTGGTTAAGAAAAAAAAAATTAAGAAATTAATTTGTAAAATCTGAGACTATCTCCTCCTGTTTGCTTCTCTTTTCTGTTTTTTTTGTTTTTATTTTTGTTTGTATGTTTGTTTGTTTGTTTGGTTTTACCATGTTTCTCTGAGGTGTCTCATACTCCAATTAGGCTCTCTTTTTACCTCCATGAAGGTGGCTTGCTCGCCTGCTGTTGAATTATCTCCAAGGTCAATCACAGTGTTTTCACCTGGTGAAACCCCTTCCCATCCTTTAGGGATCAACCCTTTCTTTAAGAAACCTCTCCTGATTTCAAATCTTGGGTGGATACCTCTGATTTGTCCTTCTACAATACTCCATGTGTCCTTCAGAGCAAATTTTTACACTGGATTTTCATTAATTGCCTGGTACTTGTCTACTTCCCCACCAAATTGCATGTGCATGAAGGAACACATCAGCGTCTTGGCCAATGTTTCCCCAGCACATAGCACAGGACCTGGCACATATGGATTCTTAATACATTTAGGTTCAAAGAATAAACAGAGATTTAGTTGTCAAAAACAAACCTCAATAATACTAATACAGTCAGAAAAGGAATGCTTTAAATTCTAATTTAAGATAGCCTAATTTAGAAGACATTAGAAGTTTTGTATGTAGTTGTATGATTGTTGTGTTTATGTACAAGACAAGGTTGCTGATGAGGGTAGAAGTGTTAGAATTTAAAAATAAGTGGGAAGTAGATAGTACTTGAATTGACTATCCAAGGAAACTTGGTACAGAGATCTTAAGAGGTGAAGGAAATAGCTGAATTTTCAGTCAGAAGGAAAGTAAAGTGGCACACAGCTATAATTCCAGCAACTCTGAATGCTTAGGTGGAAGGATCACATGTTCAAGGTCAGCCTCAGCATCTTAGTGAGATCCTATCTCAAAATAAAACATAAAAAGGCCTGCAGAGGCAGCACAGGAGTAAAGCTCTTGCCTAGCACGTGAGAGGCCTCCATTCAATCTTCCTATAAAAAATAAATAATTAAAGATATTAGGTAAGGGCTCAGGTAACAGAGGGCTCAGGTAAGAGCTCACTTGCATTAAAATTGTATTTGAATTTTAAGAAAATTAAAAAATTTAAATAATTCAAGCAAGCACTTTACAAGGCAAGAATTAAAACTAACAATCTGTTATGTTCTCTGAACTTAGACACAAAATATTTTGAAATTCATAATCAGAATATCTGAGTTCTATGGTGGGATGTGGGAGTGTTTGAGATGATAGTGTATTTACTGACTTTAAACAGTAAGAACAACTGTGCTTACTCAAAACCACTGCATATAGCTGGTAGTTCCTTGCATAAAGTATCTCCGAGCGAGGAGGATGTGGAGGCTACAACAGCTCATACTCACCCTATCAGGCCACTCTAATTTAGACCTGCATCTGCTGGGAGTTCTGATTACTTGCCCAATCCTGCAACCACAGGGCTGCCTTCTTTGGAATAGGAGGCATTATCTTCTTCTTCTAAAGGTGTGTTAAGGACTAGTAGCATCCCTGTATCTATCAGAGCAAGGGGAGAGGAAACAGTTCAAGTTTAACATTCTAACATTTGAAAATTATATGGTATTTATGTTACAAGGGCTTTAATACATTGATGTCAAAGTCAATTTTAGGTTAAGGATATAATAGTGTCATCTAACAAACATGATATGCTATTAACATGAATCAACCTGAACTTCTTTAATGGGCCAATGGTAGCACAAAGCTACTTCAAATATATCTTTGGAAAAAGCTTAAAACTAAATAAATGATTACATGCAAATCATGAGAGATAACTTATAGATGAATTAACATTCTTTTTCTGTTTAAGTTTTATGATCAAAAATTTTCTGTTTTTCCCTTATGCACATGTGGTTTCTATTAGTTCATTATTACTGTGGACTTAATGAGGAGGATTTAGAGAGAGGAATGGAACTTCCGTATGCTTCCATTCTGGATTTCTCAGTGATTCTGGGCAAATTTGTATTATGTCCTCATTTTTTTTTTTAACGAAGAGATTGATGAAGACTTTCCATGAAAATTTAAGAAAAATATTGTAAGGCACAGGAAAGAAATTGGAATAACCAATTTGTTCATTCATGCCATCTGAAAGGAAGGATTTTACCCCATTTACAATTGAGATTTATCTAAGCATCTTAGAAGCTTCTATTTATAATAAATGAATGAAACTGGTGAGTAAGTGAAATAAGCCAGTCACAAAAAAGTCAAGGTCAAATGTTTTCTCTGATATTTGGAAGCTAGTCCAAAATACCTATAGGGGCAGGAGGTAAAAAAGAATAGAAGAAAGATCAGTGGAGTCCACAAAATGGGGATGAAGGGAAGGGAGGAGGGATGGGAAAGGGAAGACAGTGGAAGAATCTGACCTAACTTTTCTATGCACATATGTGAATATAGCACAGTGAATCTCACCGTAATGTACATCTACAAACACTAATTTAAAAAAATTAAGTAATAGCAAAAAGATCCATAGAGGGAAGGAACAGGGGGAGGGAGACATGGAGGGAAATGGGAAGTAGTGGGGACTGAATTAGAAAAATTATATTCCATGCTTTTATAATCATGTCAAAATGAATCCTATTGTTATGTATAACTAAGAAGAACCAATAAAAAATAACAATTAAATCTTATAATGAAACTTGGTTTAGAAGTTCCAGTTATGGGACTCAGAGTAAAGAGTTCTTCAAGCAAGTGTGTATTTCTTCTGGAAGAGTAAGTGGAAATAATTAAATTTGTATAACAAATCTCACACCCAAATATATGATTAGAAACCTCTAATGAATAGATTTGCTTACATACAGTTCAAGTATGCATATGTTTTACTTTTCATTCTTCAAAGAAATATAAAATTGGCCTGGCAATGGTGAAGGCCTATAATCCCAGCAATTCAGGAGACTGAGGCAGGAGGAACCCAAGTTTGAGGCCAGTTTCAACAATTTAGTGAGTCACACATCAATTTAGTGAGACATTTTATCGAAATAATAATATAAAAAGGACTGAGGGTGTGGCTTAGTAGTAAAGCACCTCTGAGTTCATTCCCCAGTATAAAAGAGAAAAAGTAAAAGGAAATAAAAAGAGACAAAATTTCTTAAGGCACTGTAATTTAAAGTGATGCCCAAATTTAATACATCTTCTAGTTTAGGTACTCTGATTTTCATCTTGATTATTTGTATGATAAATTTTGTGATTGTTTTCTTTTTACTTTATGACTTTATATCTATTTCTTCTAGTAAAACCTTCCATCTTATTTTGCAACTGAAATGCTAATTGTATTTTAGTTTTCTGTGAGAAACAACTATTGAAAAAAAGTCTCCCATTTTTTGTGTGTATGTTTGAGGACTTGTACCTATCCACTGAGCAGAAACTACAGCACTTAAGCATTTAATAGTTCTAAGTGATGGGGAGCAAGTCCATGAAGCAAGAAAGTTCAATGAATATCAGTACAGTTGGTAGATTGTAGACACAGTAAGAAAATCAATGCAAATCATTAGTATTGATACTAGAGGATTTAAGCTCTCATGCTTTTTCCCCCAGAAAAATGAATAGGGAGGTGCTGATATTGCTGAACTGTTATTTACCATAACATGCTTGCTGCCTCTTATTGGTGCAGACTTGACTGAGTTCAGCATTTTAATGAAGGGCATGATCCCTGGAGTCAGTGTACTTGGTTTGAATTCTGATTACTCAATCTTTGACAAGATATTTATATTCTCTAAACTTTGATTTCATCTGAAAAAAATCTAGGTGATATGCTGGTATGTTTATCTTACAAGATGGTTTTGACTTGTGCCAGTTAGTTAAAGAGGCTATCATGTATTCTGGGCAAAAAGTGTTTCATATCAAAGTGGAAACTCATGATTATTGACCCTTAAGTGTCCAACATGAGTCAGGGGAGCTGCCTCTAATATCAGGGAAGCTATTATTGGAGATCCTAGACTAAGGCAACAAAAAAATGTGTTTTTTATAAAATTTTTAAGGGGAATTGCTGCAATTCTCCACAATCTTTGAGAATAATTTTGTCAATGTTTTTCTGTCTGTGGTAGTAAAGCAGGTTGACTCAATGAATCAAGCTGGAACTGAGTCTGGAGAACAAGCGCTCCTTCACCTCCATCATCGTAACAACCTGCAGTTTCCTATTATTCAAAACTGTCTAGGAATCTTAAAGAAAGGAGAATTCTGGGAAATAAATTGCCCAGCTTCACTTCTGTGATGCAAAGGCAGCCTGGGAAAGAGGTGACAGTGATGTCAAGCCATCATTAGACATGCATAGTAATTGGAATATGCTTGGTGAATATTAAGCACTTAGTAAATAAGGTATAATACTGTATTTTATTCCTGTACATTAAACTTGCATAAGAAATTTAAGTCTATAATAGCACAGATATATTTTTCTCTGATTTTTTTTTTTTTTGGTACTGGGGATTTAACCCAGGGATACTCTACCATTGAACTACACCCCCAGCCCTTCTTTCCTTCCTTCCTTCCTTCCTTCCTTCCTTCCTTCCTTCCTTCCTCCCTTCCTTCCTTCCTTTATTTCTTGGAAAAAGAAGCTTTATTGCTTCACCAGCAAAGTATAAACACATGGGATTCCTGTCTCAGAGGTTATAATTCTCCCTTTTTTTGTTTTTTCTTTTGAGAAAGGGTCTCATTAAGTTGCTGAGGCTGGCCTTGGTCTTGCAATCCTCCTGCCTTAGCTTTCCAAGTAGGTAGAATTACAGACATGTGCCACAATACCAGTTGACTTATGTTTCTTGAATGCTATCTCTCTTTAATATCTCTGTCCAATTTTTCCTCTTCTTCTAATTCATTTTAAAAACCCATGCTCTACCCTAAATAAACAAAGAGAATGCAGGATTATCTATAATCCCATAAGAATCGTCAGAAACAATACTTTGCTATAAGGTTAGATGTAGAGACGATGAGTTGAATGCTTTAGCTCCTGAGTCCAGGAACACCATGGTGGATAAATTCTGACTCAGCTTGAACATTACTGCCATGTTATTACTAAAACCCCAGCAAAAAATTGTGATGTTTATTCTTGACATTCTAGTAGTAAATATCTCTCTCATCTTCCCTCCATACCTGACATGGGTAATCATGCATGCTCCTAATTTCAGAGGGTTATGGTAGGGGACAATAAAGAGACAAGTAAATAATACAAAAATTTTTTTTGATTATGAATTCATTTGTAATTTATATGTAATTTAACTATTACAAAGGATGGTATTACTGGTTTCTCTTGAGTTGACTGAAAATTTTACAATATGCTTTTCTCTTTTGAAATATCTTTTAACTGGATTTTACTTGCCTTCATGATAATGAATGTTTAAATTTGGTACACTACTTATCATTCTCTATGATAGTTGAGCTGGTGATATTCAAGTCTTGAAGATTTTCATGTATTTTTATTTTTTGGATTAAGAAATAATTTTACTCAATTTGAGATCAAATTTTATCCACTGATAGTGAAAAATAAAAAGATATGAAACCTATGCAGACATAAAATAACTGACTTTTTTCCAATAGGTTTTAATTTGTGATGATTTGCTATTTTTCTCACTTGCATTGCTGTGGTTTCTGCACAGCAAAGATTGCTAATAATAATTTAGATCAATTTCTGTTTACTTCTTCAAAAGCAAATAGATAAACTACCCTTTGTAGTTACATTACGGATATGCAATCCAATTTTAGGTAATAAATATACTAAAAATGATAAATACTGCTTTTAGATCTGCCCATGAAATTCTCTCACATATACTTGGTTATGTTCTTCCTCTTTCATGTGATTCTGGATACCTGTTGAATTTGAAGGGAGTTTTAGAAGAAACTTGTATCTCTGAATGACTGGAGCGTATTCTACCACTATGCCTGCCCTCCCACTCCACCAAAATTATTGGACTGTTAAATGAGTAAACGATGAAATTGTATTGTTTTTCACCACCGAGATTTCAGGCTTTATTTGTTACTGCAGCCTAGCTTAACCTAATTAATAAAACCTGGCACAGTGCTGAGCACGGAATAGGTACTAGTTGCCAAATTGAATCACGGAGAGAATTTTTTACTGCAAATATCCTTCAGGTCTGTAAATCTTGGATTATACTCAGTAAGTTGATTTCCATATCCCAATAGGGAATCATTGAAGCTTAAATGCTCTGATTTGTTCAGGTGACCCAAGTCTGGATATGAATGTGTTTTTAGGCACCTTCCACATGGAAGAAAGTACTCATGAAGTTTAGCTGAACAATCTTGTGATTCACAGCTTGTCTTTTGAGAAGAGTGAAGAAAATTGTGTCATTTATCATGGGTAATTCTAATATAGCTCACACTATCAATCTCTCTGACAATCTCTTCAACAACTCAAAGTCCAAGCTGTGGCTGGAAACTGTCCAGGTGATAAGCATCAGGATGCTGTGGGCCAGGCCTGCTACAACACCTGCTCTAAAGTCAGATGTACCATCTGCAGTGAATGGAACCCAAGTTATGAAAAGGAATCCTACAGTGTA